GTCCGCTACAATAAGTGGGTACAAACCATATAAGCCTTTCAAGAAGGCACTGCAAGGCAATAGAGCTGCAAAACAAACGTGAACCGATCGATTATGCCAACCGATAGCAATATAAACACGGGCGGGACCGAACGGGGCGCCTGGTTCACGCTGGAAATGAGAAGTTGGCCGCGTCACGAACGAGGAAACCACGACCTACTGCCGTGGATTCGAGAACTAGAGATTTCCCACATTCTTGCGGTATTTCCTAAGAAACGGTCGAGGTAGGCGAATACCGATCGCTACGTTATTAATTTTTTTTTATTACTTATTGTTACCAATTGGGTCTCTATCAAAAACCGATTAGCTTGTCTCTGATAATTTCGTATTTGCTCAAAGATAACAATAATTGAGTCGCAAGGCGATAACCAAGTAGGATTTTTAGCACTAAATTTGATAAATCGGTTAAAAAACAATAAAGAGGGCCGAGTAAGCAGAATAAATAAGGCAATCTACGTGACGATCTACAGGTAGGATCACGAAGTTTTAGAAAGTATAATAATAATAAAAAAAAAATTTCAATCAAGTATTGCACTGAATTTATGTCAGTACGATCTTGGTTAACTTGCTGAGAATAACAAATTGTTTTAAATTTTTTACATTTTTTCAGTGCTTCCATCAATACGCCGAATGATTTTTGAATAACCTGCGACAATACAAAATTTTTAGCTCTACTATGGACGCAATTAGTAGGTACATAATAAATACTTCGAAAAAGTTGGTCATGATATATGAAAATATATCCGGCCCAATCAAAATGTATCGGCCCTGAGTTTTCAAATGCTTAAGGATGGTGATAAAAGTTCCAAGATTAAGTTATTGAAGATTTATAATTTACAATTTGAATGGAGTTTTCCTTTATGAATATTTAAAAAAAGTATCCAATTAAATATTTTAATACTGAATCGAAAACAACTGCGGAAACAACTGAATACTGCTTCACACAAACAGCAAATGCCCTGTATTTTGACTATTATAAGTACAGGTATTAAATTAATTCAAATAAATTATTTTTATTAATTCTATCCAATGTCAAGTCAAACAGATGCTTTATATAAAAAAATCTAGCCATGAAAAATATATCTAACCCCATAGCCTTTGACTTCGTGTAAAAATGCTAGAGTTAATAATTAAATATACAGGCTGTCTTAGGGTGACGGCCCATTATAATATTTCAGAGACTACTTCGATTTGAATTTTGAAAGTTTGGGTCTTGAGGTTTTCGAGTTGCTCTCTTTAAATAAAATAATTGTTGTAGCACTTCCGGTTATACTGGTCGCCATCTACTTGCTTGTTTTAAATGGAACACCCTATATATTGCATATTTGGATTCTACGCGTAATTTTAGGGGGACTTTTATCAAGCTTCCTCATATCTATCTTTCTCTAATGGTCTTAGAGATAGATATATTCAATTAGATATTAGATAGATATTTAGATATTTCAATTCTTTAAAAAAAGAATTGCTTTTCAATAGTCTAAATAATTATATATTACACTTCCGTATACATATCTCTCTTAATTTGTCTGTTTTGACGGTTTTTATGATAAGTAATTAAAATGATCTAATTTCTTGCGAAGATAGCTGTAAAATTGCTAGCAAACTTGAAAACAAAACAACCAATATGTCACAAGTCATCATTTGCTGTTAATCTGACAGTAGTACTTACAATTAGTTAAACACTAATTTGAAAATAATGCAAAACAATACGTATTCAAATGGAAATGTAATATGGACAGATAGAGAGTAAAATCCTGCAACAGATTTTGATTAAATATACAGAGTGTACATTTAGAAAAACCAAGTTTTGGCGGTTCGAAGGTAAGCAATTTCGACAATAAATTTTCACCACCCTGTGTAAAATTAATCAGTTTTTAAAGTAACTGTAATAAATGATAGACAACCCCCTATCTCCCTCCGAAATATCAATATGTCAGCTTGTGCGATGTAAAAAATAGGCAGTTTTGAATTGGGCTATCGAAAAGCAACTTTTTTTTATAGAATTGGAATATCTCGAAGGCCATTAGAGATAGATATAGGGAGGCTTGAAAAAAGTCCCCCCAAAATTAAGCGTAGAATCCAAATATGCAAAAATATACAGGGTGTTCCATTTAAAATAAGTAAATAGATGGCGAGTTTAGGTATAATCGGAAGTACCTACTACAACAATAGCATTACATTATTTAAAGAGAGCACCCTCAAAAATTCCAGGGTCTAAATTTTCAAAATTGAAAACGAAATAGTCTGAAACATTCTAAAGGGCCTTCACTGTAATACAGCCTGTATACTTGCAATAAGCACCTCGTACATTTCACAATTTAAATAAATTTGTCAATTACAAAACGTTTCCGACTTAATAGTATGCAATTTTTAAATCTAATTAACAAACATTAAGAGATCTAATCTAAATAACGGACGCAAAAAAGGCAAATTTTTAATTATATTCCGCAACTACTGACTGTTAATTATTTGTTGATTGGGCGGAACCAATAGCAGTTCATTAGTTATGGCTCGCGATTCGCTTAAGACTGGACGATTTTGAAATTTGGGGAATGATTTTTTTTTCGTCCGCATAAAATTTGGTAGTTCGAAATTTTGAAATGGACTTAACTGTACCCTTGACAGTTCTGTGCAGGCACCGAACAACTTTTTTTAATAGGTTTCAAGTATCGCCAAATCAACGGAATAACATGAAGGTTCTATTTTTACACGGGATGTAGAAAACGATCTTGCACCACGCCGATATTTTTAGAACAAGTGGACCAAATAATGTCGGCAAATATCTGGAATTGCTCGCATAACGCGGACAATGGGCGGATGTTTCCTAAGAACGGCTAAACCGAGAGTGAAACGTCGAGAAATCGTGCATGAATATACACGGAGTCCCCATCTTTTCACGAATCTTTTAATTTTTTTATAAAGCGTAAGCAAACACGACTTTCCAAAAAGAAAAAAGAATATATTGCACAGCGCTTTTTTTATTTAAGCACATATAGCAATATACAAGCAAGACAAGAAAAATATCCAGTGTCCCTATCCTTCTTGATCCACCCCGTACGAGGAAGTAATTTAGCATTCCTTCGCAAGATTTAGAGTGCCGGAGAATGTTTATTTTTTTTGTATGGTGTTCTCATAGCCAACTTCGCAACCAAGTCATTGCGAAATTCGGTGGGGAATGTTTAGAATTTTTTTCACACAGATCGACTTCCGAAGATAATGAATTGTTCATGCCAAGCAGCAGTCTTTTCCATCGCAACTAATTAACTGTGAATTTAGATCGACGAATAATTAAAACTTCGGTAGAAATTAAAAGAATTCAATGGCAGGCGCACAAAAATAACCCAGAAACGTATATTTCAAGAAAAAAACGAGTTTGGTTCACATACTGCAAAGCGAACTGCTTCCTACAGACCTTGACCTATATAGGGGGGTTTCGCACAGCACGCCTCGAATCCGGAACGACATTCGAATGTTTTTCAAAACAAGTGAAATATGCGACAGAGGCTTTTTAAAATAACATAAAATGGACGCGTGTTTCTTTCAAACTTCTTTACCACTTAGGTGTGAACAAGTTGATATTTGAACACATTGTTAAATGGTCGACGACATGTTACTGATGTCATTCGTGTTTATTTTCGTGTGGTTAGATCAGAATTTCATTATTAACACATTGACGCTTCACCTTCTTCAGTAAGTGGATGGGGGACGAATTTACAAAAACAAATGAGGTCATACGGCCATTCAACGTTAAAAAAAATTATTGCGATGACTCAGTGCAAATCTAGTGGCCTACAGATCAACATGAATGTACTCTGAACGATACAATTACAACTTACGAGTTTTTTGTCGATATTTTCATCGGATTCTCGACTTTTTTGTATCACTACTCGTTCTTCTCGAAATCTGTTTTAAAAATAATGGAGTTTGATTGACTTCGGTTCGGAGAAACGATTTAATCAGGCCATAAAAAAAATAGTCTTATCAGAGTATTAAATGTTGGATATTTTATCGAAACAAAAATATGTTGTTGATGAAAGCTGTAGGTACTAATCAATAATGCATTTAGATATATCAAATAACACATATATGATTGCAAAAACGACCCAGTGGCGTACGCATGATTTCATCACGAACGGGCACCTGTCATAAAAAAATTGTTATAAGATTTATCTTGTACTATTCAAACTCCACTGGCAATGAATCTATTTCATGCGGACCAGATATGATACAACACAAAACAAACAGGGACAGGTATTAATGATTCCAAGAAAATTTGTGGAATTGCATGAAACACGATTTGGCAACGCTGAAAACCGCATAGGACCGTACGGCCTTCTGTCATTGATGAATTTAAAGGGAGGCGTCGATTAATAAACAATTGAATGGGAGATACGCACCCACTAGATCTGGATATTATTTTTTTTACCGATACCATTGTGTAAAATTTTACTTGTGAAAGATATTAAAACGGAGTGAAAACGTAGACTGAAGGGTGTATGTATAATCATTACCATAAAAATTATTCAGTTTAGCTGAGCTAATAAGCGTAAAAGTGAACGTGCTAGCTAGTAATGTGCACACTAGAATAACCACTAGTCATTGTTAAAATGCATACCTACATACGGTTTAAAAAAAATATATAAATGAATAAAATAAAGTGGAAAATAAAGGATGCATGGAAAAAAAATATAAATAAAAAGCCTTCAAATGTATTTTATACCTTGGAGACGATCCAAAATAAAAAACTCTTTAGCCTGAATGAAGTTTGCGGTTTTCTTTTAACAAATTGTGTACATAAGTGACTGGACAGTCTCAGGTAGAGGTTAGGTCGGGTCTTGGGATCAATAAAAAGGCAGGGCAAGTCGAGGAAATCTGCACGAGTATTAAATGTCTGGCAATAAAACCGCAACTTGCAGCAACAAATGGAACGTTTTGAGTTGTACCCCCAATGACAAACGTACCTTTCAGCAGAAAATCCTGGATAACTTGAATAAAATACCATCAAGAAACCTGGAGCACGGCTATAAACAAAACACTAGCACATCACATTGTTGCTAGAAGCGATATTTCCACTGCGAAAACACAAGGACCGGGACGATTTCGCGATATCTCTCGTATTTTGACAGATTCACACGCACCTAACAAACATTGAATGTCAACTATTTCAATTTCACATTCACTACTTACTTGATTTACACTATCAGAATACTACAATTTTTTCGCTCTCTCTCCTACACACGCGGCGCCTTTAATGACTGAAAAGAGAAATTTGTGCTCGTACCGTTATTGAAGTTCAGTGCAAACGGGATAGATGTTAGCATTGTTCTTCCCGCGACACCGGCAACCCCCCATACACGGAATCCCATGAGCAACACGGTTGATTTTAATTCCATTTTATCTGTGCAAGTATGTCAGATTGATTAAATAATTACGAAGAGTCTTTAATGTTAAAATAACTAAATAAGTTACAAATTCAGCCTACACAGAGTGTCTCACTTAAGACAGTTTTATAATTTTCTTACTATTTCTATATTGGATTTATTTCTTTTCAAAATATGAAAATCATTGCATTTACTTTATATAAACCAAGATTAATTTATTTCCTCAAACGCATACTACTTTGTCTTTAAAAAAACTATTTTATTCATTTTGCATGGAAGACTCTTTAAATACAAAAGTATTGAAATTAAGTACTTTAGTAAATACATAGTGACCTGAAATTATTAGAAATAGTATTTTAACAATTTCTAATTTATTTGTTATACAATATAAGTAAATAAAAAAAATTGATGCGAGGTTAGTCACACAATATACAGAAAGCTGTTATGCTGGTTGCAGACAACCGAGTTCCATCTGGTAACAAAAGCAATATGATATGATCCCTGAAGGTCAAAAGATCACAACTTCGGAGCTGGAAAACATAACCTCAAAATAATTGAAAGTGACGGAATGTCACAATGACTAAACATTAAAAACAGTGGACACTGGAAAAATATTAATTTAAATTTATTCCATTTTCGTGATGCTTAGTTTTTAGAGCCTACGATTAAGGTAAGTTTTAGACGCACATTTTCAAACAGTCCGTTTATAAAACGTTTTTATTTTAGATAATTGGAATGTAAACTATTATTAGTCTAGCGAATTTGCTTGACAGCTTAATAATACAGGTGGTGTTTATTTTAGTAAAAAATTTGAGTTAATTATCTTATCGTATTGTAAATAATCGTGGATTCGTTAATGAAAGACGTTGTTTAATGATCATTTGTGTTAACAATCAAAGGGAAATTTTTATTTTACAATGCTAAATAAATATAATTAAAAAAGCTACTATTTGATCTTGCACAACTTGTGTGATGTGTTAATATTTTTTTAACGCTTTCAGTTTTCTAAAAAAATCAGAATTATAACCTTGTATTTATTTTTAAATGTTATCTGTACCTGATTTTTACTAAATAAACAAATAGAAAAAGAGTGTCGAGACCTGCTCGGGTTATATTTGAACATTTTCAGGCAAAATGGTAAACATAACATACTGCCCTCCCGGCATCCACATCTGGGATGTTTGGGTGGACCACGGCACACCGCAATGCTTCATGGACACTTTGTCGTCCTCCGTACTGGCCGGTTTCATCCTGATAGCCGGAACGATCCAGCTATGCATGTACCGCAAGTACGGGACGGAAGTCTCTCCGAATCATTTATCGAAATCGCGACTGTACCACTTACAGATATTTTTGACGTTGTTTCTACCCGGTCTGGAGATAGTTAGGTTCGTGTTGCAGGCAACCGTGTATGAGGACAGGGCGGTATACGGATATATGGTAAGACCGAGGAAAATAATTACGATTCCCAATAGTGTTTTTACTTCTTATTTTAGATTGTATCGTTAATCCTGACATTATTCACTTATCCGTTCTCGCTATGGATAGTGTGCGTGGAGAGGCACTACCTTCTACCGTCTGTCCCGACCAGAGGACACGGCATCGTCCTCCTCATATTTTGGACTTTGATCTTCATTTCGGAAAACCTCGCTTTTCTGAACCTCGGACAGAAAAACTGGTGGTTCAAACTGACAAAGTAAGCTATTCCGTAAATTATTGATAAAACCGAATTTGAATTTAATACGGCATATTCGATTTTAGCACAACGGATCAGATTGAGATGGCGCTTTACGTCCTACGGTACGTGTCCTGTCTGATGATATTTTTCTTAGGATTAAAAGCGCCAGGTATCATGCAGAACGTGGATTACTTCAGTTTGAACGATCCCCAGAGAAATGTCAGCGGTCAGGTAAGTTTTTTTTTCAAGTTTTTGTGGTTTGGATACGATTACAGAAAGTTGTGGTTTGTTGTTTGTTTGAAGTGAGTCATACCACGAGGAAGCTAGCAATCACATCGTTAAATAAATGTTTTTATTTTTACTGCCTCGTAAAACACACTGTTGACTTTCTTGTTTGACAACAATGAACGGCCACTAATTGTTTGTTTTTATTGAACTTATCTTTGAAAAATTATAATTTACGTTGTTGATATGAGTATTAAATAACGATGATAGGGTTAGGTTAAAAACTTCTGAAGGAATCCTGACAGGGACAAAAAACAATTTTGTATAATAGTCTGTTGTATATTTGAAAAATGTTTTTGAGATAATTTCCTTAAAAAAGTTATTTTCTTGTGCACAAGAGATGTTTTAAAAAAAAATATTTTTTTTTTAATTTATTCAATCAAACTTCCCTGTATATTTTTTAAAAAAGAACAGAGGTGACTCAAAAGTCATAAATATCAATAGGAGTTTGAGTTACTTGACTATACACATTTCAAATGGTGAAATTTGATACCACATAATGAATGGATTGGAAATAACTGATTCATTTTCTGGAAATAGAACATGTTCATCGAAATCTGAAACTGATACCCATTTGACCCCCTTTAATTGACTACAATTTCTCATTTAATTATTACAGATAACAGGAACAGCGCAAATTTAATTTATTTTAGTGGACGTTCATAATCATATAAACTTTATAAATTTAAAATGTTAGACATTATCACAAATATCATGCAAAGAAAAAGAAAACTTACCACTGATTCTTATCTGTTGTTAGTTTCTTGTCCATTAATTCGTAAAATGCAGAATTAGTGCGTCTACATTGGACACACCAATCATGATTGTCACTACACTACAATATTATTCACTATAACAATTACTAGCACTAATAGTTTTGCTTACAAGCTACACTTTTTGGGTATTCAGACTACATTTAGCGAACGCTGAAATAAAAATATCGTCAGTGTTTTGGAAATACAATTATTAAATATTTTTCAACACTACATTTTTATAAAAAAAAATGAGTACTCGTAATTGATCATTACAGACATTTGAGCACATTTCTATGGTCCATTTTCCATTTTTAAATTAAATTCCCTAATTTTTACAAAAAATCCAAGTTTTCCACAATGAGTGACTATGCCCTACAAATTACCAAAATGTTAATTGAAAAAGATTATTTTGCATATCTTTACACATTTTGAGCATCTCTCAGCCATTATCTAATATTCTATTGTTCAAAAATTAGCATTAAGAAATAAATATTTAAACACCACCCAATCACTATCTTATCTTCATCAAAAAGTGTGCAGAAAATCACACAGAGGTTACAATGTCAATTTTGCAATAATGTGTTAAAAATCTCAGAGTTACCTGTAGCTTTTCGCATAGCTGTGATTACTTTTGGCTTTTTTTCTAAATCTTCAAAATCATGTCGGACAACCCACCCCCGGACAAGGATCTCGATAGGAAGCAGAAGCAAAGGGTGTCTTTCAAGAACATATCTGTTAATGTGAAATTTAAGGTTCTCATTTTGACAGGGCCTGTTAACCCTTTCATTATTTTTTTCGCCGCCGGTCGACTTGATTAAATGTGCAATTTTCTTTAGGAAAGGAGAGATAGCAACCCCTCGACATGGAAGAATTTTTGGAAAAAAATGAGGATACTGTCCCCGTTCATGTGGCCCAAGAAAGACACGTTTCTGCAGTTGAGGGTGCTTGTCTGTTTCGTCCTATTGGCAGGGGGAAGGGTGGTGAATCTATACGTCCCTATCTATCAAAAATATATAGGTAAAGTGAAACACAACGATAATAAATGATTTTTCTTCACTACTGACGAAATATCTCTTTTTAGTCGACAGTATGGGTGGGGATGAGAGTAAGATGACATTCCGTTGGGATTGGATTTTAATTTATGTAGGGTTTAAGTTTCTTCAGGGTGGAGGGACCGGTGGCATGGGTCTGTTGAATAATGTAAGGTCGTTTCTGTGGATAAGGATACAACAATACACCACGAGAGAAGTTGAGGTAACGAAGCTACTTTTGTTACTCATTCAAAATTCAAAGAGCTTTAACATTTTATTTTAGGTAGAACTGTTCAGACACCTGCATAGTCTCTCCCTTCGGTGGCACTTGGGTAGAAAAACTGGCGAAGTGCTACGGGTGATGGACCGGGGGACAGATAGCATAAACAACTTACTCAACTACATTATTTTCTCCATACTTCCCACAATAGTCGACATCATAGTGGCCATAGTATACTTTGTCGCTGCGTTCAATATTTGGTTCGGCATCATAGTGTTTATAACGATGATGTTATATATTTGTGAGTTAATTTAAACTTTCTTCTGGAAATATCGATTAATTTTTTCTTCTAGTATTGACTATTGTGATAACCGAGTGGCGGACAAAGTACCAGAGACGCATGAATTTGGCGGATAATGAGACAAGAGCGAGAAGCGTGGATTCTTTACTGAATTTCGAGACAGTCAAGTATTACGGTGCGGAACAATACGAAGTCGAAGCTTTCAGGGAAGCAGTTTTGAAATACCAGGTAAAATATAACAAAAATTTCACCGCAAATCAAAATAAAAGTATTATTTTCTTCTCTGTTTCTTTTAGAAAGAAGAATTCAAGTCTAGCATAACCCTGAACATCCTAAACACGGTGCAAAACGTTATAATTTGCGGTGGAATGCTCGCCGGCAGCTTACTCTGCGTCCACATGGTGGTGGACCAGCACACGTTGAAAGCCGGCGACTATGTTCTCTTCGCCACTTACATCGTCCAGCTGTACGTACCGCTAAACTGGTTCGGTACATATTACAGGTATGATATTTTGTGTTACCGTTGTGTATGCAAGTGTCAAACTCATTTTTGTACAGGGCGATACAAAAGAACTTCGTCGACATGGAAAACATGTTTGACTTGCTCAGGGAAGAGCAGGAGGTGATAGATGCGCCAGGCGCCGGACCTATTTCCGTAAAACGCGGTGCTGTAGAATTCAATAATGTCACGTTTGGTTATTTGCCCGAGAGGCTCGTCTTGAAAAATGTGACTTTCTCGGTACCGTCCGGAAAAACTGTGGCGCTGGTAAGAAAAATATATGCTTGGAAACATTTTTTAAAATAGAATTACTATCTTTAATGTTAATTTTTAGGTGGGACCTTCTGGCAGCGGAAAAAGTACCGTCATAAGGCTACTTTTCAGATTCTATGATGTCGAGACTGGTTCTATCATCATAGACGGGCAGAATATAAAGACCGTCACCCAGGAGTCCTTGAGGAGGTCCATTGGTGTGGTACCACAAGACACGGTGCTCTTTAATAATACTATTAAGTGAGTATAATGGCATTTTTACATTTGTTGTAAATTTAAATCGCACAGACATAACCTCAAAATCCACCAGATTTTTTTGTGTCTCATTAATATCTTTGTACCTATACTGTACTTGTCAAAAATTTATAAATTATACCTTTATATTGCAATGTAAAAAATGGTTTCATAGAAAGGTGTGATATTCAATAAAATACTTATAAAAGGTCATTTTTGTAAAGATTTTGGTACTCACCACTATTTCTATCAGGAAAGGTGAAAGTTTTCTCATTTTTTCGTCAAGTTGATGGTTGCAATGTGAACTTTGCACTGATTTTAACAGTTCTAGTAAGATTTTGTCATACTGAATTAGTTCCACAAAAAAAAGAACCAATAATCTGCAACAATAGACAAACATAATGCCTCAGTGATGAATAATTGTTAATTGTTTTACTATTAACCTACTATGATTAGAAAATATAAAATTTGATAAAACCTTAAACAAATTTTGTTCACTTGAAATGATTTTTAATGTTTAAATACATATATAAAAAACACTCTTTTTTTTTCAAATGTTCGAAGAAGTTGATGACAAGTAAAAAAATTAGAAATTTTTTATATTTCTGTTGCTATTTTAAGGTTAACACTTTTTCACATACTTAAACTGGAAATATGAAAACTAATAACTTACCAGGTTTTTATAATTTCAGAAAGCAAAGGCATTTTTTCATATTTTGACATAATAACTGATTTTAATTACACTTTCACATGATTTTTATCACAGATTACCTGTTTCAAAGGGCCTCCAGATTTTAAAAGAAATAAGACACAAGCAAACCACTATCAATTGTTTTTCAAATTCCAGGTTACTTAGATTTGATCCACCAAATAGAATGTTGTTAAATTTGAGGATATGTTTTTTTATCTTGATTCTAGGGGAAACACACCTTTTATCAGAACTAAAAATTTCTAATTGCAGTGGAGCAGTTCGTTGATATACTTTATCTGTTTTAAATAAATAAATGTTTGTCATTATCACCGTGAGGGACGGAAAATAGAGGTTGACTTTACAGCACGAACTGAGATATTTTTAGAACTAAAAATAATATTTGCTTTCTTTTCTAAAATTATAGGTACAATATAAAGTACGGTCGTCTGACGGGCACCGATACGGACGTCATAGAAGCAGCTAGAGGTGCAGATATCCACGATAAAATATTACAGTTTCCGGAGGGATACGAAACACAAGTAAGTGTTGTTTCCGTTTCTTAAATATCAGGCTTATGATAAAAAAAATTCTTAGGTGGGCGAACGCGGTTTGCGGTTAAGCGGAGGGGAGAAGCAGAGGGTCGCTATAGCCAGGACGCTGCTAAAGGCCCCAACTATAATTCTGCTGGACGAAGCTACGAGCGCCTTGGACACACAGACGGAAAGAAATATACAGGTGAGTTTGAAATTTTTATACAGGGCAATCGAAGGAAACGTAATTTAATCCAACATAAAATAAAAAAACAAATGTTCAAGAAACTACATTATAAAATTAACGATAACGAACAATGTCACAAAATTAAAAGAAAAATTATTTCAAATTTTAACAGCCTCTTTCTGTAAAACGAAGCGTTCCCAGGACGCATATTCATATAATTTTTCTTTGTTTATTTATGAAGTAGAATCCACCATTAAAGTTTGGTCAAGCATTTTGTTATACCCTGTATCTAAGAAACAGGTTAAGTGTGAGTGGGTGAACTACTCTGTGGGCTATGTACCCTTGTTGGCATTGAATTACACCCCTAATATCTAGTAAAGAGCTAAGATCAATATGTAGCCCGCAGTTGAAAAGTGAGGTTATGTTCTTTTTTCAGGACTCCTTAGACAGAATGTGTGCTAACAGGACTACGATAATCGTAGCACACAGGTTGTCGACTATAATACACGCCGACGAAATCCTGGTGCTACAAGAGGGAGAAATCGTAGAACGGGGAAGGTAACTGCCGATGAAGGATTTTTATTAAAAAAAATAATAACCATCTTTTTTTTTGTAGGCACGAGCACCTCATCGGTCAAGAGGGAATATACGCAAACATGTGGAAGCAGCAGCTGGAGAGCAGGGAGAACTCGTCTGGCGAAAACAGTTTGGAGAAGAACGCGGCATAGCAATACGTCACATAGAAACATACCTATCTGCTTCTTTAAATTATTTATCCATAGTTCAGTCCCCTTATCTCATCGAGACTATCGATTTAGCCCACATATTTTAAGGTTAAAGTGGACTTTTCCCAACCATACTTAATCGTCGGCTAGAAGCCGTTAAAAATTTGATTTCTTACCAATTCGACACAGTTTTGGACGTTTTCTGGCCCATCCCCATTCGCAACGCTTCGTGCGGCTGGAAATGGGCCGTGATCATTCTAGGCAAATTGCTTATGTACCGTTATTGTAATGTAAATTATTTTTATTAAGTAAAATCTCATTTCAAAAACTGAGTATATTATTTCTATATGTAAGAAATCATTCAAAAGCAACCACTAAAAATTATTAAATTGGTGACTAAGTCAGGGTTTGTAATGTCACTTATACTTCGCGGTCGAAATTATAAAGAGTGACTAAGACATAATATAAAAACACTATTACCATAATGCGTATAAAATATAAAATGATTTTTATACGGTTCAATATTATTTATCTTTGTGGCCGCTCGCTACGCACATCGATAGAATCTATAATCGTCTAGAGACCGAGTTACACTGAACGTCGATCTATATTCTATCTCTGTCTTTTGCACTTGGTAGGGAATAGGGAAATGCTTTCTTAGTGGGTGTAAACGGACTCCATTTAAGCCGTCCTGAGAAACGTCATAGCATAAGCGTAGACGAGGGGGTCTAATTCCATGGCTATAATAAATTTATAAATTAAAAAAAACACAATTGGGACGTTTTAAAATGCTGTAATAATTAAAATGGATCAAAGTGCCTGTTATAGCAAACCGTAAAAAATATTAGATGTTATGTTTTATTTTTTTTTTCATTATTTTTTATATCTTGTTGCCTTTTACGCAGACACGCCAATGGATTTTCGTTCCCGGCACGCTTCATCCCCCTTACTAGTCCAAAAGCTAGCGATGAATCACTCTCTATAATTTCAACCGTGGAGTATAGATCGTTTCCAATATATTTTTTTAAAGAACAATCACGAGTTACTTTTTTGCAAAAGAAAATGCCACAAAATTACTATTAGGTCTCTTTTTTCAAGTTACAATGAAGATAAAGAGGCATATTTGTATATCAACAAATCTTAACAGAAAAAGTTTTTGACTAAGTTATATACCTGTGCCAAATTTTGCAGTGGTCGGTCTTGATTTCTTAATTCAATGATTAAATATAAAGAAATCATGGATTTTTTTTTAAGTTTTTGATCGGAATAACCAAATAATATAATACATCCCATTTAAAATTGATTCTATTTCTTAGGTCGCCCGGTATACTAGTTTAATTTTTGTAACATTCCAATTCATGCGACTTCCTTTACTCGTCATTTCGAAGTTATGTTGCTTCTCATTTTATGCATTTGTTATTATCCGGATGACGTCATTTGTCATTTTAAAAACATGGCGACGTACCAGTAATGAATTAGTGTAACGTCAACATTATTTTAAGTTAAACTTTCAGTTCCCGTTAATTTACGTTTATTTATCTTAACATCTTTGTCACCCTTCCGTTCTCCCAGTTTAAAGGTGAGTACCCGTCATTCGAACGACTAGAACGCTAACAGCTTTAACTTCCTTTTTTTGTGTGTGTTTTATCTTTATCTGCCTGTGTGTGTATCATAACCATCTCGACGTTATCACCTGGCCTTTTTTATTATAAACAAATTAAGCGATTAGACGGTCGAACGCAGACATATGTGTTGACGCCGAGTGAGAACGGGAATGCCGACTTATTATTTTCCAGAGCCGCAATTCGATATGGAGAACCAAGCCGCAGGTGCCAGCCGCAGCAGCCCCTCGAAGCTGGAACAGGCCCAGCAGCAGGTCAATGAGGTTGTGGGCATTATGAGGGTGAACGTGGAGAAGGTTCTGGAGAGGGACCAGAAGTTGTCGGAGCTCGACAGCCGGGCCGATGCTCTCCAGGAAGGGGGAAAGAGGTTCGAGCAGCAGGCACAGAAGCTGAAAAGGAAGTACTGGTGGAAGAACATCAAGATGATGATCATCATGGGGGTGATTGGCGCCATCGTTTTGGTTATCATAATAGGTAAGGGCTAATTTGATATAGACGTGTTTAAGTAAGACGTATGAGGGGGGAATAGTTCATGTGAAATGGAATAATAGTATCGATAGCTGTGTATGAACTGATAAAATTTTAATTTGTGGCATTGACACATCAAATAAATCTAAATCATGTCACTGTACGGAAAAGTATAAAAATTATCAGCAACTGTAAAGTGTTATCAGTTAATCTAGGTATTATTTTTAGTTATTGTTGAATGTTTAAAATTTTAATAGAAGAAAATAGTTAACAAGAGCCATGGTTGAATGCCTTGAAGAATAAATTTCCTTGTATTAACAATTTTACCGTAGAAAGTATATCTTTCTCTTGTGAAAAGGTAGAATTGAACAATAAACGAGGCCGTTATTGACAAACGTGTTCACGTTTATTTTTGGCAGCTCCGTTCCTTTGTTTTGATAAAGTTTAGTAGTGGGTTTTCCTTATCTTTCATGCAGAGATAAAATTGTTGAATACATTTAGCGCCTTCTAAACGAGTATTGTTTTAAACCTTTTCACGGTGCATTGATTTCAATGGTTACAACTTATCGTTTTTTTTCTCTTTCAAAACGGAGATTTCTCTTGTTTTCTTTTTTCAAGGACAAATTGCTTGACACATTAACATAATCTAAAGCAATAAATGGTTAATTAAATTCTCAAGTGCAGTAATATCGAACTGCGTTGCAAATCCTGGGTTGATTACATATTTTTTTATTTACCCACTTGGTAAGTGTTGAGATAAGAAATACTTATCAGTTTTATGGACTTCTGACGCTAAATAGGTTCAGTTAACTCATAAAAATGTGGAGCACTCTTTGTTTACCCAATGTTTCGTACAAATAACTCTTTATGCAGTCATACAGTTTCAATACCACAAGAGTTTGTCATTAAGCGTTTCAACACATGTTACTGGTAGCACTAATTTATTTTAATTGGCTCATCCACGCCGAGCGAGTTAAATCCACTTGCGTTTGTACTTTATGTAAAGAACGACTTCAACATGTTCTGCATTGCAGCATTTTTAAAAAGAATACAGTTACCTAGTGACTAGTAGATGTAGGAATATAAGTCTGTCCTTGTGAGTTGTGAAATGATCAGTAACTTTCTTGCCTCATTGTAAACTAGTCACAAAAAACTAAAGGATTAAAAAAACTCCTAAATTTTTAGGTGTTTTTTAATAGGTTGTAATTTGATAAAAATGGCCGTAGAGCAATAAAAAAGAAAGCAAATTGAAGCTTAAAGTTTCTAGTTTCAGGATCTGAGACTACCTTTAAGAAATCAAGAAATTTAGCGGAAAAAAAATTTCAAAATTTTTGCTTTCCTTTCAAAAAGTCCTCAATTATTTGGGAACTACTGATCATACAAAAAATCCAAGAAGGGTATTGAAAACTTCAAACTATCCTCTATAGGATGTACAGTCGGCGCCACCCAAATGTGAACGGCAATATTGTACCGTGTAATTTAGACTTCAAATCATGGTTGTCGTAAAATTCAATAGTTGTCAAATATATATGTCACTTAGAGCAAACATAATGAAATGTAAACAAGTAACGTGAAATATGCAGGAGCATTTAACTGAGGCGCAAAGAGCAAGGGCTGTAGCTAAATTAGAAGATAATTGGTCTTTGAGTGAAGTGGATGCTGACTTAAAAATCAGTAAGAGTTTTATATTTTATATTAAATAACGCTGGCAAGAAGAACAAAGATTACAAAAATATATCAGGCAAGGTGTCGGGAAGGTTTCCAGTGACGTGGAAGACAATGCCTTGGTCGAATTTATTCATCAGAATACCCTCTCTGTGTTACGCCACTAAGAAAAGTTTGATTTACTACGATAAAATCCAGATGACATTTCCATAACAACCAAAATCCGTTCACATTTGGGTGGCGCCAACTGTACTTATCGTTGTTGGATAAAAAAAGTCTGATGCAAGAAACTTGACTCAAAAAAAGGTAAAACAATGAGTATTTAAGAAAACTTTGCCAATAATGAATAGACTAAGGATATTTTCATTTTTTTTTTAGTCTCAAAGTATCCCAAAGAAAGAGCTCAAGCCGCTGCGGTTGTTCTTTCATTGTGATTCGAATGATCTCTGTTGCTAAAAATCAAAAGATAAATTTTGTATCTTTTATTCATTTCTTTAAATTGAAAATGTTTTTTTTTTTTGGCAAAAATGCATACATTGATTTATTGTGGTTTATTTATGTGGTAGGTCATTCACCAAAAATGGTCCTATATATAGAGTGATTAAAAAAATCGCTGACAGACTTCTAGGGTAGGTAATACATGAAAAATTAAGATGAAAATGCCTCCTTAACGAGATACAGGGTGTCAAAGTTTCTGTGAAATTAAACATTGTCTGCAAATTTGCTATACGTAGTTAGCACCTTAAGACCAATGTTTGATGTACTGCTCAAAATTTTATAAGCAGCAGTGTCGTAGAGACGGGGTCAACGTGACCCTTTTTTAAAAATATCTTCTACGCTACTGCTAATTTTGTCAAACGAGCACTATTTTCGTGTAAAGTGTTCAATTGTCTATCGAATTGGTCCCTTGCAAAATTTTGATTAAAGCTACAGTTTTTGAGTAATTTAGGTTTCAACTAATTTTGTCAGAATGAAATAACGTAAACAATAAACTACAAATTTAGGGGTGAAAACGTAATGATAAAAATTGTATAACTGGAAATAATGTAAAATACCAGAGTAGGTGCTGGAAGTGATCGCCTTGTGATTCGACACACGTTTCTACCCTCCGAGCTAAGGATCTTCATATTCTTTCAAAAATCCCGGGCGTATTAGAAATTGTTTGAAAGGCTTGTTGAATTCATTGCCATAATTCATCAATCGAATTTACTGGAGTTACGTAAATCAGCTCCTTAACATGACCCCAAGTGTGAAAATCCAGAGGATTTAAGTCTGGTGAACGGAGGGGCCATTGGATTGTACCACCACTTCCAATCCACCGTCTAGGGTATGTCATATTTAAATAATCTCTTACTTGTCGAGCGAAATGTGCCGGAGCACCGTCATGATGGAACCAAAGGCTCCTCCGCACATCCATTGGTACTTCATCTAACAAGCTGTTCAAATCATTCATTAAAAAATTAAGTTAAAACTGGTCATCTAGTCTATTTGGTAGCCTAGAAGGACCAGTGAGTGTGTTGCCAATAATGCCAGCATGAACGTTAATTGAAAACTCATGCTGAAAATTTGTTATTCGAATGACATGAGGATTTTCGTCGCTCCATAAATGATAATTGTGGAGCTTAATTATTCCTCATCTCGTAAACGATGCTTCATCTGCGAATAAGATATTCGCGAAAAAATTGGGATTCTCTGCAAGCCTGCCAAGCAGCACTCTAGTCTTGGTGGGTAAGCTTGAGGTAGTAAATGTTGTAAATGGTGTAAAATGTTGAACACGTTGAAAGTGATAGGGGCGCAATTGTTGTTCGCGAAGTGTTCTCCAAACAGATGACTGTGATATGTTTAAATTTCTAGTTTGTCAAGTACTTAACATATTATTATTTTCTATTGCTGTCAGGACCATTTCCTCAGATTCCGGAGTTCTAGCACAATGCTGTCATGTAGAATTAATTTTTGTTGCTTTTAATTTACCCGTTTCTCTTCATCTTCTCTCGATATTATCAAACATTTACCGATTTGGTGTTCTTTGTACAGGAAACATTTCTCTGTACCGCCTAACTGCATCACGGGAAACAAAATTCGCTAGCCCATAACATAGATGCATATCTGTCATCGCTTCAAATGAATATTCGTAATTCATACTGTTATTGAAAAATAGTGAAGTAGCTGAAGTAATTTAAATAACCGTAAAAATGATAAAAAGAAGCTTATAAGCTAGTTTACTTAACTCACTTGTACATTTATTATTGACATTAGTGACAGTCGATGTTTAATTTTATTTTGAATAAGCCTACTATATGAAACTAAAATGAATGAACATAAAATTGGATTCACAAATTTTCTACAAACGTGTTTTTCTTAAAAATGGTTGCTTTGATCCAAATTTTGCAAGAGACCAATTCGATAGACAATTGAACACTTTACACGAAAATAGTGCCCGTTTGATAAAATTAGCAGTGGCGTAAAAATATTTAAAAAAAAGGGTTATGTTGATCCCGTCTCTACGACACTGCTGCTCATAAAATTTTGAGCAGTACATCAAACATTGGTCTTAAGGTGCTAATTGCGCATAGCAAATTTGAAATAGAAATGTTTAGGCATTTTGGAATTATTGCAGACAATGTTTAATTTTACAAATACTTTGACGCCCTGTATCTCGCTAAGGAGGCATTTACGACCCTATGTTTATTAAGACTTTTCGTCTTAATTTTTCATATATTACCTACCCTAGAAGTCTGTCAGTAGATTTTTTAATCACCCTATAGAAACTCCCATAGACCCTGATTCTCATCAATTAAATTTTAGCCACATATACTGATTTTATTTATTTTTCCTAGTGTCTTTCACCGGTACGGGAGGAAGCAATTCCACTTCTACTGTTACTACACCTAAAGACAATGCAGTTACCTCTGCCCCTACACCATAATCCAGAGCCGGTTTTCCCAAGTACATAAACTTAACCGTACAGAAGTTTAAATTTTCATTTAACACAGCCTTACTATGTTCTTTTAGTCAAGTTTATGTACTGTACTTATGTTACTGCACGTTGCGTTGTAAATGATTCTTTTTATTAAACTTTAGTTGTATGTTATTAATTGATGGAAAATATGCCTTAAAAACGTGCCTTGTTGTAAACGGTTGCACAATAAAGAAAATTGGAAGTCAGTGTTCCAATAAATATTTTTATATCAGTCTAGTATTAACCCGTTTTAAATTTTTATGTAGTTCGTACATTGTGACAAGGTTTATAAGGTTATAAAGTTAGGTTAAGTTTATACAATAAAGGATTAATTGTGATTACATTATTTACCCAAATATATATTTATTTGACATTTTCGTTTTATTTAACCCTTCTTTCAACAGGGCAAAATAAATTTAGCAGCGCTTGTAATATGTGTATGAGGACAACAGAAAGTGAAATGGTATGGGAAAAGGCCACGGAAATTGGTCAAAAGCACGTAATTGCACCCAATCTCTTGTCAACGCCGTCACAGGACAGCTCACGAATTGGGTTGTATGCGTGAGCTTATCAGTGTTGTCTATTTGTTACCTTTTTAAACTAACAAGTGGCAAGAAAATAATTTTGTCCAAATTGTTTTTTGTATTGTTTAAATTGTGACGTGTTATTTTAAAATTAGCATATTTTTTTGACGATGTGGCCAAAACATTAAAACAATTTTTTAGTTTTTAAAAATATTTTTTTGCTCGACATTTAATACTATTATTGGTACATTGTTAGGTGTATGTTACTAATTGTATGTAAAACTAATTTATTATTTTTGCTGTTGTATAAAGTATACAAAATTAGATAAAAATACCTGTCAGTCTGCTAGATTTGGAATATTTTTTAAAGCACTGTGTTTAGTTCGCGAATCTCAGCGTCAATGAACTCTGACATTGACTTAGTTTAGGTGCACTACATACTGTGATATATGACAAGAGGGCACTAGGGAGACAAAAAACATGCAGCCAATATTTAAATAAAACAAGAATGGCTGAATAAATCATCGCTTTACTTTATTGCATTTATTTTAGTTTCAGTTTATCGGTTTCTGAGGGAAGTGTTTGTGATACGATAGGTATTTTCATGACTTTCTGTGTGAAGTATTACTTTTACGATACAGTGCATTTGTGTCTTCATTGTCAAATTTCTGAGATAATATGGAAAAACAGAATACGAATCAAGAAAGATGAAAATTTTCATTCAAATAATCTAGTGAAAATGCAGAATATGCTAAAATCTTCTTGTAAGTGCTCTTAAATAGTCCATGTTTTTCAACTTTTGCAATAGCTGTACAGTATAATCTCGATTACCTGTTCTTCAATGATCGGGACCCCCTATTTCTGAGCATTGTTTTCGAGTTGGGAGCGCACCTTGAGAACATTCTTGCTTTTACAACAGACACTTATTGAACATAAAAATTAGGTGATAAAAAATACCCAGTATGGCAGCTGTAATAGTCGATTCCTCTTATGCATTTACTTTTAATACGATTATCACTTCCCAACAAATCATTTCGAAAACAAAAAATTCCCTCCACCTCTCTGCCCTATTTTTGCTCAGGTAATACACATCAAACACCTCATCAACCTTATATCATAATACCAAATTCTAATTTCTCTAAACAAAAATGAATTCTGGTTATCATTGATTTTATTCACTAAAATTATCATCATCAAGTAAACTATCACCGAAGTCTATATCTATTGCTGTTTTCACTTTCCTTTTACCTCTGTATACAGCATGCTTGTTGGTCATCGCCTTTGCTTTGACGGATTTCTGGGATTTCTCCGTTTTAGAAAGCTCTGGAGACGGCACTTCATATTTGGAACTGGACTCTGCCTTGTCTAATGTAGAATGAGCTTCTTGCAAAACTTTCACGATGTTGGACGTGAATGGCGTTAAACTGGGACACTTTTCTAAAACAGAACAAAGTAAAATTGTATGTTGTATCGTTTCATATCGTTAAAAAGCTGTCATGGTACCTGCGTATTTTTTCATTAGTTCTTGATACTCGTCATTCGTCTTTTCTATATCTTTAACTAAATCACCGTCTTGAACAATTTCATTGAACTTCATGAAGGTGTCTTGGTTTTTTGAACAACTGAAAGCGTAATCCAGATACGATTCGTAACTTTTCACGAACCTGTCTTCAGGACCTAGCGGTCTTTGGAGTGCCGTGTAGATAAACGCTTGATCCACTTTCATCTTGGCAAATACATATACAGCTTCATACTGCCCTCGTCTTTTCACTTCTTCGATAAGTTCTGTGATTTTCTTGTATTCTTCCAGAGTCAACCGAATTTTTACCCAGTGCCTGAAATTACAAATATTCACTACCTGTGTTTACAACAATGCGATTACACTCACCTTAATGGCTGTTTATAGTACAATCCGTATAAGAGATAAATTCCACCTAATTGCGTAAATATACTACCCGATGACATTATGAACTTCTTGACGATGTAGAAGTAGTTCTCGCAGAGTTCTTTTAGCAACAAAGCATACTTTTGTCCACTAAAAACAATCTGAATTTAGTTGACCATGTGATAAACTAACGTGTTTACATACGCAAAGACGAATGTAAAGTTCTTCAGCTGCCAAACTCTAGTAAAATCCGTGAATCTCAAAGACTTTAGTTTCTCGAATTCCTCCAAGAACTCCTCGCAGTCCACCTTGAACGCACCTGCAATCTGCTTGTCATATTCGTACAAATTCAGTTTCTTCGCTGAAGACATGGCTATTATTTGAATTTGTACAAAATTAACCTCATTTTTCCTTATTTTGTTTTTGTTTACAATTAAGGTTATGTTTGGCAGAAATGTATAAAACTGTGGGTCACAATCAGGGAGATGTGTAGTCTCCATGGTTAGTGGTCACAATCATAGATTTAGTAGTATATCATCTATGGTCACATAATTAGCTGTTCTGTGGGTGATAGAAATTTTTATGTAATCCGTAGTTCAAGTATTTTGTGTATAGATGTCACAGCAAAACTAAAGCTCAGTTCACAGAACAATTAGTATACAGGATGTTTTTAAATGAAATAGTAGTAACTTTTCAATATTTTTTCGATTATTTGCGTATTTTATAAAGGAGTGAAAAAGTCAACCCCATTACATTACATTACATTAGAAATTTTTAATATACAGCAAATTTTTATTTAAAATATTTATTGGGAAGACTGGTTTATTGCGCAACTTCTTTACCTCTTGTAATTTTTCGATAAAACCGATAGTTTTCTAGTAAAAAAATTAGTTGCGTCATTGTTCACTAAAGGGGTAATTGCGAAAATTTGTAAAATTAAAGTAGGCGGATGTCATAAATAAATTGTTATTTATCATATTAATAAATTGACACTTTCTGTCAACCAATAACACAGCCCCACAAAGAAAAAAGTGGCAGGTCCGAAAGACAAGACCATGGTATCCATATGGTTTTGGGGTCGCTGAATCCGAATCCGGTGTCCGTTTGACACAATCAGCTCTGGTTTAAGGTCAGTTCAAGGTCAAATGTAGGAAATCAATTGGTAACAAACTGTCAAACGGACACCGGATTTGGATTCGGCGACCCCGAAAACATACAGATACAGTTTAGTTTATTTTTGCTACTTCATTTAAAAACACCCTGTATAAAGCAGAATGGCATCCAGTATCTATTCATTAAATAAAGCATATATTACATGGAGGAAGCACCAAGTGTTAAAAAGTATAGAGGTTGTAGATAGAGAAAGGGCGATTGTTTGGGTGTTCTATTAATTTTATTTGAGTATCACGAGAGAGTTGCGTTAGCCAATCACGCGCCTGCGCGAGAGTGAAAGATAGTACCCAAACCATCTCTGTCTCTCTCTCTTTGTCACTCGTCTACACTGTCGACGTAAGCGTGCTTCCTCCACGTAGTATTATGCTCTAACGGTGGGGTTTTAAACTTCTATTAGCGCAGTTAGTGTGAACTTAATTTCCGTTTAATGACAAGACTTGTCTCTAGAGGGAGCTAGGATGCATCAAATTCTTCGAGTTCTACCGTTGTGCTAGTGCGACCATCTTTGTAATTTGTTCGTTACCAATTTGGTAGGAAGAACGATTTCACATGAAAGCATCTACAGGGTGACCAAAAAATTTCGTGAAATTCATATATGTATAAGAAAAAGGATTATCATTATCGGAGCTCGGTTTGCATCAGAGGGAAATAAAATGGGTGAACTGAAACATGTTTCGAGATTTAAATAATTTATTTATACATTCAATGAACATACTATAACATTAATTTTAAGACACCGACAACTCGAAAAGTTTTTATCCCCTAAAATGTGTGCTGGAATGTCTAACATTACTAGTATGAGTGAACAAATGAAACGTCATAAAAAAACCTTCGTTGTGTTGGTAAAAATTCAAAAAGAGAAAAAAGTGTCTTAACATTACCACACTAATATATATGTATATATCTTACACTTTATATTTATTTTCATTAGACATTGATTAAGTTTAAACGTTTTATTTATGATTTTAATCAATAAATTGGGATCGGACTAACTCTTTTCGCTTCCGTCATCTTATCGCCAACCTTAAAAATCTGTATCAATATGTACAAATTGACTATTTTAATTTTTTTTAACCTCTCAGTACGAAAAAATATCACAGTTATAAATATTTGTGTGGAAATCAAACGGAAATTCAAACAACAGTCACGCCTCGAAAAATAATCGACAAAAGCGTGCAGTCTACCTCGTACATCAGTCCGCGGGGCAGTCTTTGTAAAATATATTAACCATAAACATTGAAAATGGGAACGAGGAACGTTTTATTTGTGTTTAACACTTGGGCGGTAAACTGTACACTTTTTTCAAAAAAAAAAAGAAAACTGTACGATCCATTCTCGCATCAATATTCCCGACGAAGGACTTTTAATAGAGCTTTTGCCGTAAACGAGATGGTCTGTTCTAAAAATCCTTCCCGCGAAGAAAAAAGGAAAATAAAGAAAAACAAAAAAATAATAGAAATGATAGTAAATTTTTATTAATAAAGTATGTAACAAAAACCTTTAAATTTTTTATAAATACATCTATATAAATCACAAGCTAAAAAAGCTTTAAAAAAGGAAAGAATATATTGTACAAATCTCAACATATCTCTGAATATGTCAACAAACGACGAAAAAATCAACCCTAAGTAGTATTTTAAAGCTTGTTTTTTTTTTAAACTTAAAGTAACAAGTTGTCGCGCACAACGTTAACATAACGCAAGTTGCAACAAATTATTTACAATGTAAATCGGAACATACCAAGTAATCCGTATACAGGTTTCTCAAATTTCAACGTATACATAATAGATATGAGCAAAAATCAAACAATTATACTTTCTTTCTCCTTCTAATACTATAAATCGTAGCGGCCGCTGCAAAAATCCCACAAGATCACAGCAGGTCGCAACCAACCACACAAAACGACAATTCTATAAATCAATCTGAAATTCCATACAATACAATTATCTGAAAAATTTTACTGTTCCGTTACACGCAGATGGCTTTGAAAGCAAAACGATTTAATATCGATGCCGACTTAGAGATGGCGCTGTATGACGTCAAAAAGTCTACAATACGTTCCTATATCAGCGTTGTTGGGACTTTTGCCGCGGCCTGCATTAATACTATCTTTTAAACTATATTTGCACCAAGAACTTAATAATAATCGTCAAAATTTGTAAAAAATCTTGAGTTGCTCCCCAAACAATAAAAATTAATGAGATTCTCCTTAAAAATCAAAAAAAAATCAAAAGATTGCCCGCCCGGTCTCTTCAACGAAACCGACCAAAAAAATATATATTTAATTAAAGTACGTTTATAAATAATATATATTGAGCTATTCTGTTTCCTTTTTTTTTGTGGACGAAAATTCAAACGGCAAATAAAATTACACGTATAATATATTAAATAAAGTAGAATGTCTTGAGTGAATCGTTGAATTCTGGTCCGCAAAATACTTTCAAAAAAATTAAACTAATTTCTTATTTCTGTACAACCTATTAGTTATTATTTTTTTATTCACAATGTCTTTATGTCTGTTTCCTATTCACAACTCTCTGAGGGGACGGCGGCGCAGGAACAACCCCTCCCTGAGCCGCCGTCGGTTCCTGCGGACGCTACGATCGCCCAGAACCGACTTCAAAACCCCGGCTTAAATTCGAGATAAATACGTACGGGGCATACTTACCGGTACCGAACTGCTCCAATCTACGCCCGGGTCCAAAATCTTAAAATTAAAAGTAGTACGAGAGATCGCGAGCCGTCTGGAGAGATCGTGTCATTCGCAGGGAACGCACCTACCGATGCCCAGCCTATTTGTCCTTGCCCAGGCCGAGGATGGAATGTTCCATCAGCGAAGAGTTGGGCTGGTGGGCATAGTTCCGTATCTGGTGGAGACTGATCAGTTGGTTGGGGAAGCCGTTCGACGGCTGCGACTTGGGGATGTCCAGGCTGTTCTGCTTCTGGAAGCTGAGCGCGTCGTAGATGTACGGCCTGTTGGGCGCCAGCTGGTGGTGGTTGAGGTTCAGGTGGCCCGACATGGAGTTGATCGGCGTGAAGGCCGAGTTCGTGTTGGATTTGGAGATGGATGTGTCGTACGCGTTGCCCAGGTTGGCGTTGGGAGTGCCGGGTGGCGCAGGAGGGTTCTGGCTCAGCTGCTGCCTGATGATGACCAGGTCCTCGTTCTGCTCGAGGATCTGCCTGGGGATGTCGTTGGGGTACTCGTGCATGTTCTCGGCGCTGTCTGGGCTGACCTTGGGCCAGTAGGGGTGGTCCAGCCCCCTGTGGTTCAGACCTGGAACAGAAACGATCGGTTCATGTGATTGCGTAGTGCAGTGAATCCCTCGTGACGTCATTTAGTGCAACCGAGAAAATGTCAAGGACAAAGCGACCCTTTGGTATGAACAAAATAAGTACCAAGAGAAAGCCAAATTCACTTTGCTTCGAGGCTTCCTGCACGCGCGTGTTCTTTAGATTAGGTTCCGTGTTCCGTCTGTTGGCATGAAAATTGTAGACATTAGAGTCTAGAGACAGCAATTCGCTTTACTTGAAACATACACATTTCTTAAATGTCAGCCAGAGATGACTTAAATGGAATCATTTTTATAATTTAGGTCGTTTTCGTATGTTTTACATACAAAGCACATCCTCTATGGGTATTTGCCAATATCTAAAAATCATACCCACTTATTTTGATGTCAACTCTAAACTACACGATCAAAATGATCGTTGAGGTACTACGAGGAACCATTCTAGGCCCTCTTACTAATGAACCGCACATAAACGCAGCAAATCTGTCTCCACAGTTGTACTCACCCAAGGGTGGCCCAATGGGCGGCCTCTTGTCCGTCCTCTCCGCGTGCTTCTGCATGTGCTTGCTCAGGTAGGTCTCCTGGGTGTAGCTCTTGCCGCAGTACTGGCAGATGTGCGTCTTGAGGTGTTTGCTCTCCTTGTGCTTGGGGATGTGCTCCAGGAGGGACGGCTCGTCGCTGAAACACTTGTAGCACGAGTTGCACTTGTAGGGCTTGTCGGTCTGGTGACACCTCGAGTGGGACTGGAGGTTGCTGAGCTGGGAGAAGGCCTTCTGACACCCCGGATGCCTGCACCTGGAAAGGGAAGAGGTTTTTTAGTGAACGGCAAGCGGGGAAGCTCTAAGTTTAATTTTGGGGTACTACAAGGAGCTGTACCGGGGCCCCTTAAAAGAAAATTTGTCCTTTATGATACGTCACACAGAAACGGAGTTCCAAGTTATAAGTCCGTGGATTAAATATAAAATGGAAACATTTGTAATCTTATTTGTTATAAAGGAATCATTCTGGATTTGTACCTGAATGTGCAGACCAAAAGTTGATGCAAGAAATTTAAGGGATGATGAAACACCAAAAAATAAAACGCCAATAATTGTTAGTTCTCAACTATATTGTAGATGACGCTAGCTACAGACGCGTAATGACATTTTACGACATTTTTTAAGTATTTTTTTTTTTGCAATTTTGCATTATAATGCAAAATTCCATTTTCCACAAAAAGTTATCTGTGAACACTGACCAAAATGCGCAGTTGGGAAATATTTTGTGAAAAATCCAGTTAGCGCTATGTATAGTTTATACTTTGTTTTAATAATAAATTAACCGTTAATCTGAATATTTTGCTGTATTTTTTTGTTTTATGGACGTTTACTTGTTAACAAAATTAGTGTTAAGGTCTACGATTTGCTATTTAGAAGACAAACAAATACTATTTCCCATTTTTATATAAAAAAAAAACAAAAAGTCCTTTGTTAAATTTTTAAAACGTTGCTTTTCGAGAAAAATGAATTGACTGTGAAATTTCTGATTGTTTCTCTACTAATTTTACAATGCGACCGAAAAAAAGTTGTCTTAAAATGTCACCGAAGAAAATTGATTTTTTTCAGAATTTCCAAAAACTTGTACTACATCTCAACGCAACACATTGCATTTTGAAAACTGTACGACCATTTGTCAGCCTAAGAATATTTGACAGTTTTTTCAAAGCGCCCTGTACACGTTGAACTATCCGGAGAGTGGAATAAAAGAAACAATTAATGATATTGTAATTGTTTACCGACACGAGTACCTTGTGTAGCGACAAGCAGTTTTTAGCCAGCACAATGTTGAACATGCCAATACGGTGAGTAAGGTGTTTGCAGTATTATGATATATATTTTAAAGGATAAAACGCTATAAATAATTGCGAGCGAGCGAAAGTTTTTTTACACTCTAACAGTTGAGATTATTACTGTGCTGGCCTTGACAGTAAAAAATGTAAACCACTTCGAATACATATTTAAATTAAAAGGCAGGGAAATATCTCTATTATATTATAATTACTGCGCCGTAGATTAAGTTCCGTTAAAAATAAATTTAAGAATGGTTTTCTCACAATTTGTCTGGTGCAAATTACTCGGATGCGGCCTCTGGAAATATCAAAGGGCACAAACAGCATCAGTGCTATGTAAAAATATGACTAAATCATCCTGTCTGTATTATACCGTGCATAGTGAAGGATTACTTGCGAAAAAACTGACTGTGACATCACCACTATTCGAGCCTTGATGGAACAAACAACTTTTTATTTTTTAAATCTATTTTTATTTTATGAGCACAAGAAGTTTACTACTGACCGAAAATTCCCCGTCTTTTCTAGTGTTCCGATGTTATTTATCGTTTCCGTAAATGTAAATCTACAGTTGCAACTAAAATCACATTCAAGTCTGTCAACTTATTGTTTACAAATTAATTAACAATGGAATAGCACATACTTCAGTATTAGTTGTGAAAAAAGAATATTTTGTAGACGATAATTGTAAATTTACATGTGCGGGCCTGTAATTTTACATATACTTGTACAAATTTACATTTATCTGTAAATTTACACATAGAAACTGGAAACTGACGGTATAATGCAAATGTTGAGAACAGGACAACAGAAATTCACTAAGATTACAGATTTTAACAATATACAATTTATACGTTTGGTATTGCAGAGGTCTTGCTCATTAGTTTGATCTATTAAAATAGCCATTTTGTAAATGAAATTGTTAATTTTTCTACCTGCACCTGCGACTTACACAGGCGTTTGCAAATTTGCATTTATTCGTAAATTTACAGTGCAGTAGAAAGGTATGCATTTTGGTTCATTTTGTGAAAATCAGTATTTAGTACATAATTACTATAAATTAAATAGATATTTCCACATAGATTATGCTCTTTAGAATAAATTATCAAAATGTTGATTAAATTGTAAATTTACATCTGTGAACATACACACTACTTGTCTAGAAATTTATATTGATCTATAATTCTACTGTTGGTAGTTGTAAATTTAATTATATCTGTAAATATACAGTTTACATTAAAATGAATATTTTGTTGATGAAATTGTAAATTTACATCTGTGAATATACGCACTTATCTACAAATTTATATCTATCTGTAATTCTACTGTTGGTCATTGTAAGTTTAATTATATCCGTAAATATACAGTACCTATAGATTTACTGTTGAGAGGTGCATATGTAAAATTTACAGTATGATACAAATGTTAATAACAAGAACATTTTAGTTATAAATAAGATCCGAAGCAGAGATCTGTTCTTTAGTTTATGTTGAGAGAATATGACAATACGTTTAGTATTGTAAAGATCTTACCCCTTAGTTTAAATTGTCAAAATGGAACATTGTAAACGCAATTGTAAATTTATATCTACACCTGCAAATTTACACAAGCATCTACAAATTTACATTTACCTGAAAATTTACTGTTAGTAATTGTAAATTTAATTATGTTTGAAAATTTACATTGACATGATAATTACAGCTTTGCTGTTGCAATGTAACAGATAATTGTAAATTTATAATATAGCACCAGTATTCACAAAACAGAGAATTCTATTAAATATCACATTTGGTAATTACTGACAATTATGCATTTGATAATGAAGCGATTATATTCTTTATTTTAAATTGCAAAAATGGATAGTTCGTAAATGATAATTGTAAATTAACCATTGCATTGGTAAATTTACAATTATATTTGTAAATTTACCATTGTATTTGTAAATTTACAATTAAATTTGTGAATTTACTATTAAATTTGTAAATTTACCATTGTATTTGTAAATTTACAATTATATTTGTAAATTTGCCATCGTATTTGTAAATTTACAATTATATTTGTAAATTTATTGTGCGATTTACTGAACTTTCCAGTTTAGGAAAAGACTGGCAAATGTCATACTCACTTGTATGGCTTGTCCCCCGTATGCGTGCGGATGTGCTGCTGCAGGTGGCTCAGCTGCGTAAACTTCCTTTGGCAAATTTCGCACCGGTACGGTTTTATCCCTAAATGTATCCTAGTGTGCTGAGAGAGATAGGAACTATTCGCGAACGCCTTGCAGCACTGCGAGCACTTATAGGGCTTCGCCTCGCGCATGTGCGCCTGCGTGTGCAGCTGCAGCTCCGCTTTGGAACCGAAGACCTGAAAAAAAAACGCCAAAAATTGATCCAACCCTACGTAATTTACGGTAGCTTCGTGGTTTGTTCTTATAGAATAAAAAAAATACGTGCGGTATGCCCCCGGGTCCCATATTTGGGCCTCTTTTGTTTCGGTAAGTTATTAATGACATTCTGGCTTTAGCAATAATCGTTCCATTTTACATTATCACAGATTTAACAACACTCTAAGTGTCTACAATGTAATTTACATTTTATTTTGTTTGAAATTGTGACTGGGAAGTGCGCCGTCACTGTGTTCTCGAGAAAAAGGCCAACTTTGACGTAAATGCGAGTGCATTTTTCTTGCCCATTCTACGGATAACGGTGCTGTTAGACAATTACAAACAGAAAAACTAAAAACTATTGATGTGGCACACGGCACACGTCTTGCCACATTTCATTAAACGCTTTGAGATCTAGTTGGCGGGTTTTTCGATTTAAAAAATCGGCGTGAAGAATGCGGAATGCGCTTTCAAATTATTAGAACTTTCATCGGGCCATTTTAGATGCAGCGATGGGTAACCGGAGTCATTCGCTGAAAAATTTGATTTTTTTTTGGGACAGTGGTCGACTGAGTGTCTCTCGTGTCGATCGATGTGTTTTACATTTTGAAAACAAATCGTAACAAGTTGAGCGGGTTGGTAAAAAGTCAGTGCTGGTAGACAGGGCGTCCAGAATTGCATAAGCCAATTTCTTCTTGAGAAAAACTACTAAAACTAAGAAAAAAATTTCCAAAATTGTGAAAAAAAATATGGGATCTGTTTTTACGTGCAAATAACAATAGAAAATATGTAAAACCGCAAATATCCCAAATTATAAAAATTAGACACCAACATACCTTAACAAAATCTACTATTCATCAAGGTAGGCCTTAAATTCAACGAGAAATTAAAATAGGTAGTAAAATAGGGTCTCATTAAAAAAAATAATAAGTTGGGTAACGTCCAGAAAAAGTAGGACATCCTGCATAATTGAGAATAATTTAAAAATGCGATAAAATTGATTCAGTGCTTATATTTCTCTTGAATAGATACAAACAATTTAAGTGATGATAAATTGTACAAAATATGAAAACAATTTGTTTTTTATTTTCTTAATGGCAAAATCTGTAATTACTTTATAATGTTTCATATATAACGATATTTTTCAGTACCTAATTTCCGACCACCCCCCGTATACTCCCACCAAAAATCGATCGCAGCACAAGCGCTGGCGAAAATAATCTTTCCACGCGACTCAAACGACGAAATGATTAAATTCAGCGCAATACCAACTACGAAATCGGCGATCTCTCGCCTAGGCCGCTTGTCAGACTTCTTTCATGAGCTCTGTCAAGGTCATGAAGTTCGAATTACGCCTCGTCTTCTTCTAACTCTATAACGCATCACTCCGTGCGACGCAACGGCCGGTTTCTTAATGGGGCGACGCCGATTTGGAGAAGTAACGGGACGCGAGGATTCGTATTCGAAAACCTGACGGGTTTTTGAAAGGCGCTGCCCAGCGGCGTGCAGCAGAGTCCATCGTAGGGGGGCAGATCAATAAGAAAAAAAAAGAAATCACGTCTATATTTTCTATTAATCAATAATTTTCAACATCTACAAGGCACCAAGCTACTGAATTTCGAAAGGCAAGTGATTTTTGGAAGGAACATAAAAATATAGTAACCTTATTTTCCTCTAGCTTACACAGTTATTACCATTTGTCAAGTTGTGGATATATTTAATATGTTTTAGGAACGCTAGTTATTGCAGACGATACAGCATCAGGAGAATTTTTAGTTCTATCTTGGAATTAACTGGTTATTCTTCTACGATCCGAGTGTGTAACAAAAAAGAAACAATTGAATATCAATTTAAAATGACATGGTCTGAAAACCGAAGGTAAATAGTAGTAATAAATCAGACAGATTTAGACAGGCCATAGGCGTGCCATCTTTTCTCGCCGTAATCTTAAAATGGAAGCGAATTATTTAAAAATATTCTAATTGTGTACAGAGAAGCGTATACATATATATTTTTTAATTCATTATTAGGGATATTATATCATTACCGCCTACAATATAGAGTGTTAGAAGTTTGACTGCCTTAATTTTAAGAGACGATAGAATACATTAAAATAAACAAAAAAACCTAACATGACATGGATTCTAAACTCAATCATTTCCGAGAAAAAAATTATCAAAATCTCCAACTTTATGTACCTACAAAAGTTCGATTAATTAAGGAATATTGACATAACTACGTGCATAGAATACCATAAAATACAATGTTTATCACGTTTTTGAACATCTTTATGCTTCTGATATCTGGAATTGGACAGTGTCTGAGTGTTTATTACCTGCCACTATTTCCTTTTCTTGAGGTGTTTTCCAGCGAGTGTGCGAAAATTGGATTCGAAAGTGTCGTGCATGCATTGAAAATGGTGGTGGACATTTTGAGCACATGTTGTAGTTTGTTTTGTACTTGTGCGCTTAAAAATTACTGAATTTTGCTTTTTGGTGACTACCTAAATTATTTTTAATACCAACGTATGATTATTTAGATGACGTGAATCTTTGAGTGCTTTAATTACCATATTTTTCAAATTCATTTGAATAAAAGTTAAGTTCCCGTTTTAAGAGATTCATAATTACTAAAATTCGAGCTAAAATTTAAGCACAACATTATCTTCGTACTACAAAATCGATACATTTTATTTTATTTATTAAAAAACTAGAAAACAATTGTCTTTAAATTTCCTAAATGTTTCACATAAATAGTTGCTTACATTTTTTCCGTAGGACAAGTCTGCCGCGTGCACAGATGGTATACACCAGCTGTGTAGCGTTAGGTTAAGCTCTATTGTCACGTTGTGATGAAACTCCCAATGTTAATATTGGCTTATTTTGAAAACTGTGAATCTTATGCCCCTATAATATACAACTTTTTTGTTCATATTACTCTATCTCATGCTGAAGTAGTGGCAGTCAAACTTCTTACACCCTGTATAAGGTATATCACATTTGAAGTGCCACTGTTTATTGACGTTACAACTAGAAAATGAATTGTACATGACTGATGTAGAAACGTGCATTGTTGTTAGCTTAATTTAATAACATCGGCAGTTATTACAAAACTAATTAATTAAAGATGTGGGAAACAACTACTCTGCGGACTAAAGCTCCGTCCAGCATTAAATTATACGCACAATATCCGGCAAACAGCAAGATCATTCGTCAGCAGAATGAGGTGATGCTTTCATAGTACCTACATATTAGTAGATTGCTCTCTGCCAGTAACAATGACTTTTGATATATTTTATAGGTTATTTCTCACTTATTACAAGACTAACTGTATTTAAAGAGCAATTTTAATTCATTTTGTATATAATTGTGTTTATCGTGTACTTTGTGTAATTTCGTTAATGTAAATCAAGTTGTAAATTTGAGGTTAAGGTGAGGAAATATTCTTAAATTAACAGGGTAGTGCTGGGAGTGCATTATGAAAAACATGGGAGGAAATATTAAAATGGACGTGTTTTTCGTTTTCTAATAATCGCAGCTTTGCTAAACAAGAAAATCTGAACTAGAATCATAACGATGAATTTAGCCTTGTCATTAAATTATGTTTTGGAATGAAAAAAATAACATTAAATGAAAGACGAGCTAATTTCTATTATAGCCGGTTTACTTTATTATTTCGACAAGTCGCAACTTTGTGTTCAAACTTCGTTTTATACAAAACAATATCAACCACGTGTGATAAAGGATGTGGTATTTATAGCCCGTCTCTGACTGCCGAAGAAAAATTTAAGGTTATGCCATAGTCGAACGCTCATTGAATAACTCATTGTTGCGGAGCTTGACTGAAGACTGATGACGATGACAATAACCGCAGAAATATTCACCAGCAAGAGCCTGTCACCCAACAAAACCATGTTAATTTTCGGCTGGTAACCCCATTTAAACAGGAAACTTTTTCAAATGCGTATTTATTTCTAAGTAGAAACAAAAATCGTAATAAAAGTCGCACAATTTTTCTTGTTCATAACCAAATCTGTAATATTTCACTAAATGTTAATACGTGTCGTTTTGATTTTTTTGTTTTACCCAACAGAAGTCACCTGGGTGAGGTGACGTCATACGTGCAGAGTTGAGGCCTTCACAATCCTGTTGATAATGAAACCCTTTTTACGTGGGGATAGAACTGGTCCTAACATGACTTTTTCCTTAAAGTTGTTCCGCCTATTTAGATATAATAGATACTTTCGATTGGTAGTGGCCCCCCTCGCGCTACGCCGCTGGCAGCGGCGCGGCGAAGGAGCAGGAGCGAACCAAGCCAAGTGTAAAATCACCGGCAGTGTGACCTTACCCAATAATTACTCGGTTTTTCTGTCGCTATTTAGTCTTGTTTCTTGCGGTCCGCCTGGAATTGTGTCATAGTCGTACGAGCGAGACCGCTCTACGATAGGAAAAAACGACCGCGCGGAATGGGCTTTTCGAAACGCTTTTGTATCCGGGCAGCGTTCGATTATTTAGCGAGATGGCATTGGTCGTGGCCGGGACTTTTTTTCTCCCGTTTTCGGAAAGCCGAGCGTTCTGCGGTTCCGGCTATAATGAGGTACGACTTTTAATAGATTTAGATAGTTTACAGTGCAGCGGGTTTTAACAAATGTAATGGCGGCGGTAGCCCGTGCTGCGCTTTTTTTGCGGAACTCGGGCGGCTCGGGTCCGTCCGGAACGCGGCGTACTACGTATCGCAGTTAACTGTAAAGACAATGGTTAAAAAAAGCGTTTGCTAGGTTTCGAAGTTGGTAAACGTCGAGCGGCTCGTCGGTTTTTGTTGGCGTTTTAATAATAACCGGCGTTTCTTCAAGCTAACTGTCTAATGGGGACAGTTTTTTTAACTGTCTAGTATGTACGTCATCGAAATATGCTGGCTCTACAATAATAAACATTAAAATCATAGTAAAATGACAACAGTTGGTTCCATTTGAATTGCTGTC